CAGGCTGCTCTTGGTGGTGTTAAGCAGTAAGACAAGAGGCAATGGGTAGAAACTGATGCACGGGAAGTTCTGCCTGCATATGAGGAAGAACTGCTTTACTGTGCTGGTGATCACACACTGGAACAGATTACCTAGAGACATTGTGGAGTCTCCTTCACTGAAGTTGTTCAAGAACCAGCTGGACACAATCTTGTGCAATGTGCTCCAGGATGATCCTGCTTGAGCAGGGAAGTTGGACCAGATGATCCACTGTGGTCCCTTTCAACCTTACCCATTCTGTGATAACGTTTTTACTCAGAAAATCAGCTTTGAGAGAGAGCACTGATGCTCCATTCCAGTGAATTTTTCTTTAGTGTGCCTAATAGAACTAAAAGATGCCATTAAACCCAGTACAGCATTTTCCTCACAGGATTTGGTCCCAAGTAAATGCCTAACTCAAAGATTACTTAGAATGAGACTTGCAAGGCAATAATAATCCAAAAGTGATAGTGGATTATTTTAATCTACAGAGGTGTCAGTATAAGTAACCTTGAAGTTTACCGGCAACTAAATTTGGGGAAAAAATACACTTTCCACTTTTTTTTTGTAAATAATGCCATTACATTTATGATTTCCCCTCTTGTGTCCCACACTAGCATAAATTTATTCCTTCAAGAATATATTAACTAAATGCTACAGCAAACTTGAATTAAGAAGTACATACATAAACGAGAAAGAATAAGAAAGGGGGAAAGGGATGGAAAAGATCTTTGCTTACGAGTTTCCTGCCTAATAATCTGAAGTAGAAACAACAAAATCCTTCTGAGGATTAGGAAAAGTTTGATGTTCTGGCCATGTGGTTTGTATGAAATCTCAACCTTTATTAATCAGAGTACAACATTTTTTAAAGAAATCACTTCAGTAATTTGCAGAGCCCCTTAGAATGCTTCTTTCAGGACCATAGTCATATTTCAAGGACACTTTGCTTACATTTCTTATTCTGATATACTTGTTCTTTAGCATAAATAAATACATTTTAAGTATAATGAGTTACATAGAGTTACAATATAGTGTGGATTTAGCCTTCTTAGCTTCACTTGCTTAGCAGGAGTAGCTGGACTTGCTGAAGCTTTAGGCCTCAATTTGCAAAGTTACACCTAGATATGCTTTTGACTGGGATAGTTAATTTCCTTAGTAAATTTTCTAGTAGCTGGTGCAGTGCTGTGTCTTGGCTTTAGTATGAGAAGATTATTGATAACACACTGATGTTTTGGTTGTTGCTAAGTAACATTTATCCTAAGTCTAGGGCTTTTTTAGTTTCCTAGGCTCTGCCAGCAAGCAGGTGCACCAGAAGCACAAATCAGAAGATAAGGAGACTAGAGGCACTAGGAGAAGCTGCAACTTGACAAGATAAGAACAGTTAATGGCCTGCATGGACACTTGAGAAATAACCAAATAAGATGTTAGAAGATGCCAGAACAAAAATCACCATTGGATCAAGAGGTGCATTCAAGGCATATGAAAAGCAAGTGAGAAGAGGGTGCGTAAGTCATGAGGGTATAATTCCCCATGGATTACTTTGCTCTGGGCCCCTCTCTGGAGGCCCTCTCAAGCTGACCTGCTGCTGTATCTCTCTATTACATTATTTATTTTTATAAAACTGACACCTGAGACCCTGCTGCAGGAAACCTACAGCCGAGCTTGAAGAAGGAAGAGGCATATCAGAGTGAGTGTGTGTGTGAGCAAGGAGTCAAAAGGGGCACCCACTGGCTCTCTGGAGCTGTCCACTGCAAAGTGACTCTGGACCAGGGAGTTAAAGCCTGGGGTGGTGTGTATGTGACTCCTTAAATGGTATGAGAAGCTTGGGTAGCGGCTTCTCCTTTAACATTTCCTTTTCTGCTTTGTACTTCATGTAAATCATTAAGAGGTACTTAGGGGGAAAACATTCATTCATCCATGATTGACAGATAAAATATCAGGACTTTTATCTAAAAGGAGGTCACTGTAAAAGAAGCACTTTCATCTTAATAGAAAATTAAACTATACAATTAACCAACATGCAGCTAAACTAAAAGAACAACACGTGCAATTCTTTGTTAGATGGAGTAAAAATGCGTGACTCTGGATCCTAACAGAAACTATTAGGATCCTAATGGAAATGCCATGTCAACTAACACAGATTATTTATCTGACAAATTTTGTGAAGATAGATTGGACTTTAGTGAGTCTTTACAAGTGTAAAATTACCTGCATTAGCTGAAGTCACCCAAGCAAATGAACCTAATCTAATGAGGAATTGCCAAGGGCTGCTTGAAATGTTCCTTTCCATGTCCCAGGGAGCTGAAGGTGCTGAATATCTCCCAGAAAAACATAGGCAGCCCAGAGTCGGAAATCTTCAGGACAACTGAGAGTCAAATCAAACATGACTGAGGTCTCAGATGCTCAGAAAGAAAGAAAAAAGCAAAATCAACCCCAGGACCTGGAAGTTTGGAGCTTCAGCTTTGGCTTCCTGTCTAGTTCTACTCTTGCTGACTACCTCCCCAGTCACTATTTAGTACGCTATCTACTGTTCAGTTACCCAAAGGGAACTATCCAGGAGAATGATGACTTGTGTTCTGATTAAATATCCTGCTACTCTGGAATTACTGTGATTAATCTACATCACAGTTCAGTGTTTCAGATGCAATTCAGGGTGGGACTAATGAAGTTAGGCTTCTCTAGACAGCTGTGAAACTTCCAAGTTTATAAGGAAAATCATACCAACATATTATTGTTACAAAAGCATTTAAGTCAACTCACTTAACAGAATGATCAATGCAAGAGTCAGTGTCTGTCATTTTTAATTACATTTTTAGAATGGCTTCAGTTTTTACCCCAACTCTTTCTCCTCACATTTTCTTGCACATACCTCATCTTCCTTCACAACAAGTCTGCACTCAGAGGAAACTGGTTTTTTACACTCACTGCAAGATACAGAGGACAGTAGTGTTTCTCTTACATAGCTGCTACTTACTATCATGTAGACATTCTTATGTGATAACACTCCCCAAACAGAAACAAAAGGAAGAGGATGTAAAAGCAAGCAACAGATCATTTCAGTCCAGCTGTCAGACACCCTCCAGAGGCCAGTGACATAGGAACCACCAAGATTGTTTTGAAAGAACATATCAAAGGCAAAAAAGAAAGCCCCACAACAGATCAATGTGAGAAATGAAGGTGGAAACCTGAGCCAAGTCATCAGTTTATGCACATTGCTGGAATTATCAACTCAACAGGAAGTGTCACTTAAAACCAGAACTGCTGTCCTACTACTTCCTTTTGCTGGATGTTACACTTCTGCATCAGATAGCACTATGTGCAATTTCCCATTTAGCATCATACTTAACTACTCAGCAGGTGGTAAATTCAAGGCAGAAGCTTACTAGCCTTCTAAGTTTCTCCATGTGCTGCCAATGTTCCTAGACACAGACAGCAGTTACCCCATTGCACTACAGAGCCCTCTGTGCTGGCAGTCAGCACCCATTGAGCAAGAGATGCTGAATACAAACCTCTCTAATGCCATGGTTATGTCCACAGAAGAGACACTCAAATCAGACACAGTACTCAATGCAATGTATTGACAATGCAAGCTGTGCGAGGTACACACACACACAGAGTGCAATCATTCATTCTGGAAAAAATCTTAGTCTCAGAACAAATCATCTTGCAGCAACTCAAGACCTCCAGCCAGATGTTTACAATTAATTAGCAATCATGGGAGCATCAAGGGGAATGGGGAAAAAAGTAGAGATGCAAACAAAACTACAGTGTCACCCTCACATTTAAGAAAACAACTAGGAGCATATTTACCTTTTCTTTGTTCTTGTGTCTCACATTACACAATGCCCACTTGCACAGTTCAGCACAGAAATCTCTGAATCAGTGTTTTTCAGTAAACTGTCATACCTTAAACCCACCTTGTCCACGACTCAAGCCACCACACCTCAGTTTATCATGGCTGTGACACACAAGCACACACACAGCCTGTCCTGTCAATGCTGCATTAGAGCAATCATCTTCAGCAAAGGGTGATGGCTGTGATGTTGGGAGAACAAAGCTTGTGTGAACAATTTCTCCTGCATTTCTGTAGGTCTTGCCTTGGCATAACTAAGCACAAACAGCAAAAGAAGCTGGGTAGCTAACATGGCTTCAGGCTCTGAAGCTAGAACAAAGAAGGTTCTCTGCCAAGGTCAAGGAGGAGTCTTGAAAAGGTAAACAAGTTTCCTCATCTCATATGGACACCTGCAATACTCCAATTAGCACTGGACAACAAAGTATGTTTTTCTTACATACCCAATACTGTAGAACAAGAAGTCACACGTCGGGGTGTAGTAGCAGTATATAAAGAGTATCCTTCTTGTAATAAACAGACATTTTGTCGATCATATTGGTCTGAGAGCAACCTGTCTCAAGCCCCTCCGCCCATTCTGTGATGCCTTACCTGCCACATCATCCCACTGGCTTATCTGCCAGCACTCTTTATCATCACACAATATTAAAGGGCGTATTCAGCAGAGTTGGGTCACTCTACAGGAATCTTAAATCCAATTAAAGTCAACATGAACTAAAGATGTTCAGGATGCCATGACATCAATTACCAATTAACAGTCCACTTGCATGGGAGGGCAAATCAGCACACAACCAAAAAACCTTTGTGCTGCAACCAAGCTGAAGGGTTCCAAAGAAAGAAAATTAATCTGTGAAACACGCCCACTGAGCCTCCCTCCTGCAAGGAAGCAGTAAGATAACTAGATCTGGAGGCTGTAATATGGACTGTTAATCAACAGGATTCCTATTTTTCTTCAGTCTACTGCAAAGGTACGGATCATTAGTAACACTACAAGCCTGCCATTCATTTTGTTATTGCAGCATGACCAAGCAATAAAAGTGAACCAGCAAATTTTGCAGAAGAAGCAGTGTTATGTTTATTAGGATTTGACCTTCAATGACAAATATTTCCATTCTTTCTCAGAGAGAACTACCTCTAATATCAGAGGGGAGGACTACCACTAGAAGCAGAGGAGCTGTGGAGCAGCAGCAGCAGCAGCACAAGATGGACCTTCAAAGGAGAAAACAACCAGTAGAATGGCATTTCCCTGAAAAAAAACCACCAACCTGGTAATGGGAAAATCCTCTTTCAAACTTCCTAACAAAAAGAGACAGATAACTCACAAATACCTTCCAGTCCTCTGTGATTTACTCTTACCTCTGTGACGTTTTCTTGTATTTTCTCCTGCAGGAAAAGAACAAAATAGAACTGAGATAGGAAGGCTCCACAGGTGAGGAGAAAAGGGTAGGGTCAGAAATCAGGAGCAATTCAGTGAAGTCACTTCTGCCATAAAATTGCCCCAAACCTGATGCAGCCATTCCCTTCTGCTAACCTCAGTGATGGCTGCCTCTAAATTCAGGAGAAAAACTTGTGTGTTTTCCTGAATGCACATACTGTCCTTTCTTGTGAGACAGGATTGCTGCAGCTAAGAAAGAACAATTTACTACTCTAAATGACCTAGCAGGAAGTCCAAGTGTCAGAAACTTACTTGTACTTATTAGTAGTAGTTTTTATGTCTCCATCCAACAGGTAAGTATGGTTTTATCTGTAAAGATCTCATTAAGATGGAGTGATACAATGCATCCAACCATATTGTCTGTGGTCACTCTGTGGAAAACCCCAGTGGTTTTACAGCAGTCTTGCTCCAAAAAGAAAGTCTAGATCTTACCAAGTTCTCTTTTCCACCAAATCCCAGATACCACACCGCAGAGCTTCCCTTTGTTGAACATATCCTGGGACCTAACTGACCTTAGCCCAGGACTAGGAATGACAAGAGCAGATAAGCATACCGACAGGACCTCTTCTCCTCCCCAACATTCACACCACATCAAATATGGCAAAGATTGTAAACCTCTTACTCCCCTTAGCATTGCGGATTTTGTCTTCCAGGCAATGACACAAGCTGCTAATGCACAGAGTAAGGCAATAACCATGCCTTTCTGCATGGTTATCTGTGTGGCTATACAGTTAACTGCAGAGATGTATCAGCACTGTATGTTGTCTGTGAGCTATTGATTATGTAGCCTTTACCAAAGGCTTTGCACAGTGGCTGGTAAAACAGGGCATTGGTTTACTTGAGCTCAGCTCTGCTTTTATGTTTTAAAGTAAAACTAATGATCTTTAAACTTCACAGATAATGACTGAAACAAGTTTCGAAGTGGACTTTGATGAGAAGTGCCCTGTTATTTAGCCATACATTGACAAATATTCCCAACATTTCCTATGTGTAGGTAAGATTGTTAAAATAGGTGTACGGCTATAAGCATCAAGTTCACTTTTTCATCTCTGATACTACTGCACATGGGAAATTGTGGCTAAAGCCTTAAAAATAAGAAGAAACATGGAATAAAGTAATGTAGTGCTATTTTCTATTTAACAAGGGCCATAAATAATGTCTCCTTGTCATCAAATGTTTCATCCAACAAATACCTTTACAAATTGTACTCCTGGTTGTACCCACTTCTGTATTCTGACCACGTTAGAATCATAAAAGTCCCAAATATCTACTTTAAAAGATATTTCGTTTACAATTTACTCTGTGAAGAATTACTTATTTTAACTTGAATAGATGCAAAGGAGTAAAAGAGCAAACATTCATAGCAGTATAAAGTTTATAGCTTACTGACATTCAAGATGTTGACACATACAAGCAGAAGCCCACTTAGGCTGATTCTATGAGAAATTTTCATTTTCATTTCAGAAGGATTAAACGTAGAAATTTTATTTTGAAGACTGTGCATTCAGAAGTATTCTGTATTCTGATAAAAAACCTGCTGAAAAATACCCCACCTAGTTGGCCATTCCAATCCACACTGATTAAAAGATCTTATTCCCAAGAAATCGAAATTTGTTTAAGTTTTCAAATGAAGTTATTTACAAGTTAATTCTTTCCCCTGAAATCCTCTTATGGTTCATTCCAACACTGCCAGAACTATTTTTCCCTTCCTTGGTTAGTGACTTTGATATCATTTTATAAAGTATTTCTCTTTCAGCCAAGCTTCACATTTTAGCAAAGAAAACATTTATTAAATCTTGATTAGCTAAAATTTCCCTCTATATTTTTAACAGTTGACCCAGCCTTAGGGTGCTCTTTGTGTTTGAGTAATAACACCACTTTTCTGATCAGTTACACCTTTATTCTTTTCACTCAAAAACATTTTTAATGCATTTGAAAGCTGTACTGTCACTGATGACAGCACTAGGAAAAAACAATTTGTCTGTCACAGAAATTTAAAAAATATATCTACATTTTTATTGGGTTTGTTTATTGTTTCCACACCTGCGATCCAATCACAGTTAAGGTTTACATGCACCAAGTTAGCAACTGAATTTGAAAGTATTGAATTTGCATGTCACAATTGAAGAGAATATAACTAGAGGAACCCTTTTTTATAGATTCAGTATCATGACTACATGCACACATTTTAAAAGGAAAACCATTAGCAAATCCTGATATCTAGGAAAAAAATGCTGTATGCTTTTCAAAAACAAGGTCCAACAAAGCTACTCACCAACATCATAAAAATATGGTGTTGATAACATAAAGCTGTTCAGAAATATAGTCTTCAGTTTCCTTTTCATAGAATCATAGAATCAGCCAGGTTGGAAAGGACCTCTGAGATCATCAAGTCCAACCCTTGATCCACTACCACCGCAGTTACTAGACCATGGCACTAAGTGCCACATCCAGTCTCATCTTAGAAACCTCCAGGGACAGTGAATCCACCACTTCCCTGGGCAGCCCATTCCAATGCCTGATTACCCTCTCTGTAAAGAATTTATTCCTAATATCCAACCTAAACCTCCCCTAGCACAGCTTAAGATCATGCCCTCTTGTCCTACTGCTGGTTGCCTGGGAAAAGAAACCAACCCTCACCTGGCTACAATCTCCTTTCAGGTAGTTGTAGAGAGTGATGACATCTCCCATGAGCCTCCTCTTCTCCAGGCTAAACAACCTCAGCTCCCTCAGCCTCTCCTCATAGGACTTGTGCTCGAGTCCCTTCACCAGCCTTGTTGCTCTTCTCTGGACCTGCTCCAGCACCTCAATATCCTTCCTGAACTGAGGGGCCCAGAACTGGACACAGTACTCCAGGTGTGGCCTCACCAGCACTGAGTACAGAGGAAGAATCACTTCCCTGGACTTGTTGGCCACACTGTTCCTGATACAGGCCAGGATGCCATTGGCCTTCTTGGCCACCTGTGCACACTGCTGGCTCATGTTCAGCTTCCTGTCAATCCAAATTCCCAGGTCCTTTTCTGCCTGGCTACTCTCCAGCCACTCTGTGCCCAGCCTGTAGCACTGAAGGGGGTTGTTGTGACCCAAGTGCAGGACGCGGCACTTGGCCTTGTTGAACCTCATCCCGTTGGAATCAGCCCAACTCTCCAGTCTGTCCAGATCCCCCTGAAGAGCTCTCCTGCCTTCCAGCTGATCCACACTCCCCCCCAGCCTGGTGTCATCTGCAAATTTGCTGATGGTGGACTCAATCCCCTCATCTAAATCATCAATAAAGATATTAAACAGAACTGGGCCCAACACTGTTTCCTGGGGGACACCACTAGTGACCGGTCGCCAACTGGATGCAGCACCATTCACCACCACTGTCTGGGCCTGGCCCTCCAGCCAGTTTTTAACCCAGCAGAGAGTCCAAGCCTTGGGCTGCCAGCTTTTTCAGGAGAATGCTACGGGAGACGGTGTCAAAGGCTTTGCTGAAGTCCAGGTAAACTACATCCACAGCCTTCCCCTCATCTGCCAGGTGGGTCACCTGATCATAAAAGGAGATCAGGTTGGTCAGACAGGACCTGCCCTTCCTAAACCCGTATTGGCTGGGACTGATCCCTTGTCCATCCTGTAAGTGCTGAGTGATTGCACTTAGGATGATCTGCTCCGTAACCTTGCCAGGCACTGAGGTCAGGCTGAGGGGCCTGGAGTTTCCCGGGTCCTCCTTGCAGCCCTTTTTGTGGATGGGCGTGACATTCACCAATTTCCAATCATCTGGGATCTCCCCAGTGAGCCAGGACTGTTGGTAAATGATGGAGAGCGGCTTGATGAGCTCTTCTGCCAGCTCCCTCATCACCTTTGGGTGGATCCCATCTGGTCCCATAGATTTGTGAGGATAACATTGCAAACACAGTGTCAACATCTACCTGCTTTATGGTTACAAACCACCACTTACACCTGCCTTCCATTAAAGGAGACCATTGGAAACAAGGAAATTAGAAGGTACCTCTTTAATACCACAGCCATCATCAGAAACTGCCTTCAATCAGCATCCATGTGTAAATTAAAAAGAGGAAACTAGAGGGTGGGCATTTGGATCTGGTTGGGTGGGGTTTTTTTGTTTTGGGGATTTTTTTTTGTGCAGGTTTTTGTTCAGTTGTTTATTTAAAAAAAAAATAACTGGGACAAGCTATCCTGATTTATGTCCCCAGGAAGAGTCTATGAAGTGAGCAACTAGCTACAAAATCGCTTTTAGCAGATGCTTTGGGATAAACCTGGAAATAGACACATCTTTCAGTCAAGCTCAAGGGACTTCAGATTTTCTGAACAAACCCAAGCTATACCTCTTTCCTAGGAGAGGAAAAATGAGAGAGATTTAAGGAGGTGATGTTACAGCTTCCTACACCCGTGGGCTGTCATGTGCTCATGCCTGAAAGAGGCTTGTTGATATTACCAAATCTGTGTATGTTCAGTTTCTTTTCTGACTTGACACATGTCATGCTCGAACTGCCACATCCCTTTAATTCCTGTTACCTGCTGTGGAATGTATTATTCATAGGTCTAAATTTAGCTTACATTAAAAACAATTATTTGGAACCAAGTAGATCTATTTTTTTTCATGCTGAAGAGAATTAGCAGGTGACTCACACTAGGTAGGCCCTATATAATCAGTGTAAACTAAAAATAACTTCACAGAACTTAATGCAGTTACACCTGTAGGAGTATAGTATGAAGTGAGTGAGTCCTAGTACAAGAAGGGTGCTAGAGCCTAATGAAAATAAACCCTGTAAGACATTTAAAAATAGATACTTTGTAAGCAAAATTGTGGGAAGGATGAAATATTTTACTCAAATAAGATGAAATTAATGAGACAGTTGAGCCTGCTATTTCAGTATCTGCTCTTCTGGGGATGAATGAATCCTTCTTGTGGCCAGACAAATGACACAGTATACTGGCCCAAAATAAA